CAATTACCCGTTGTTTGTGCATTGGCTTCCCAGACACCCCAACACCCAGTGCAAGGGGTTGACGCCTGGACGCTGCGACCGCGCCTCCAGCAATGGGAGGTGCTGCATGCCCCCGACCACCCACAGGAAGAGTGCAGGTGAGTCAGCGTTCAACCTGGCGCGCGCTTGACGGCTTGGTCTGATATATGGCCATGGGTCAAAACCCCGTACACCCAGGGAACATCCCAATCCCCACTAAAATAGGTTCTAAAATGGGTGGTGCACCTATCCCAAAATGGTACCATTGGTGTTGAACCATGGCCAAACACGCATAGTAAGACATCCTCAAACTTTATCCTCTACAGGATGGTTAGACAAAAAGTTCCCAAAGCATCTTTGTTTGGCAGAATTGTCCCAAACCAAGAAGTCATTTGAGCCCAGAAGTTCTGGGCCAAAGGGCCAAGTGAGTGGTTGAAAGTGACAGACCCACCGGGACTGGGACTGTTCCAAAGGTGGCAAGTCCTCTTGCCTGAGACAGACCCAGTTGCGCGACTTTAAACAGGGAAGCTGCCTGGGAGGTAACCCTGGCTGCCCATGGACCATGGACTTGCCGTGGAAAGTTGGTAAACAGGGCTACTTGGGTTGGCCAAGTTGCTTCCATTTGCTTAAGCTCCCTGGAAAAAAATACGAAAATGTCCAATAGTGATAGATTCGATTCCCTTTAAAACCAACAATGGGGCAAACAAAAAAAAGGGACAGCAAGGTGCCACTGGACCGGTCACCGACAAGGCGAGTCTTGTCAAAGCGAAAGACCTTGGCCCACGTCAGTGCCAAGCAAATCATATTGTTGTAAGAGTATTCTAGGATTATGATTCCACATTTTTGTTTCAGGACAAATTCAAGAAATTTATATTGTTTTTGATTCCCCGTTCTTTTCAACCATCGTTCTTTCCAAATCCGGCCGTTTTCCCCGGGTTTCTGGAGGGTTTCTAGAAAGAAGGATCCTTGGAAAGAATGGGGAAGGTACCCCTAGAATCATGCCTGCTGAATCGGGAAAGGACACACCAACTGCGGCTGGCTGGGCCCAGATTCTGTTTCATATTTATCCAAGCCAAAGGCAGGTTACCAGGTTCCACACATTTCTGGAAGCAAGCCCCGGGAATAGGGGAAGGGGGAGGGGTCCCGAGAGCTGTGATGCTAACTTCCCCAGTGGATCTTTTCCAGAAAGCCGCCGAGCACGGCCCAAGGAGGGGGGTGTTTGTAAGTCACATAGGACGTCGTCTTCCAAGCCCCTACTCTCCGCTTGCATGACTTTTGGAGGGTAGGGAACTGGGTTCCCTTGCTTCCCCTTCAAAACCGTCTCGAAGAGGAGAACCTTCAAGAAGAACACGCCCAAGGGGATCATACCAGTAGTGTTCCCCCCGATGAACATGCCGGATGAAATTAGTAGTGTGTGGTGTACCCAGGGTTTACCCCGGGTTTGCCGCATACCTGCAAGTGACTGGAAAGCCTGGCCAAACGGAAGGCACACCTCAAAACACACACACACAAGAGGCAGGCCTGATTCCACACGCTTCAACAAATCCAGAGTAAAGCAAAGCAAGGATCTTCCCGCACTGGTTTGTGACCCGAGACAGGTTCTAACAAGTGGGTTTGTTTCGGATGCTTCACACAAGGCCTGTTTTGACGCAAGCGATCGGAATCCGTTGGTTAGAACTCGCTAAACGGGTCTCCCAAGTTTAGACGTTCAAACAAGCCGTTGGCCTCCTCTTTGGCTTAAAGTCGGCGAGTGGCATGTGGATTCGCACAACCGTGCTCCCTTTCCCATGGTCGCATGATCACGCCTAGGAATGATTGAAGGGCTAGCAATGGGGTGCCAGATCTTCCGGAGGGGTTTAACAGACCTCAGATCAAGTTGGCGGGCATCTAAGGCACGGTCAAGATTACTTGCTCCCAGGGCTAATTGCGGCTACTTTGGTCCAATGATCCTCACTTCTTTGAGGTGTTGCCCTATTTTAGAGTCATAGGTTTCTGGGTCCGTGAGAGTGGCTACATCTTGAGTTCTCACAATTACACTTGGGGGTGATTTACCTAAACACCTAAGGTGAAAGTTTGGTCCAACAAGGGCACTTCAGGAACATATTATGGACCATCCTTGGAAGATGCTGCCTGGTCCAAAAATCATTTTGGGTACCCACCCGCCCCTGTTTTCGGTTCTCGGTTTACCCCTAACTCCCTGAGAAGAGCCAAACAACAGTCCACACTTTCTTTTTGCAACGAATGAAAAACGGGAGTCCAACCTTCTTTACCCATGACTAGCCGAAGGCTGGACATTCCTCTTTGTTTTGGTTGCAAAGTCCTACAGACTGGCAAATTAAATTAACCACACTTAGTATTTACCACTAACACGATCCAAACCCAAAAAGTGACTAAAGCCCAGCTCACTTGCCCAAAGGACCTGGAAATTCAAAAGGTTAGCCTTCTTGGACCTCTATTAAAAATGGCTGCCAAATGTTGCCAACCTGGGAAAAGATGGAAAAGCAAAAGGTCATTTCAGGTCGATTCGCCTTGGGCAACCGGGCAGGACCTCAGGCATCGGTGTCCTTTTGGAAAATAGATGGGTTTCCCTGGTAGATGATTGAACCACCTGGTAAACCAGGAATCGCCTTCTTCTTTTAAGCAAACCAACCCAAAAGGACACCTATGACCTCAGGGTGGACCTCGGGGACCGAGCGAAACTGCAGCCAGGCCGCCGCAGGATCTCGGCCAACATCTTCTCCAAAGCCTTGACGTCCGTGGAAGCGTTCAGCATCTTCGTGGCCACCGTACGGGCCATGACCGACAAAGACCTCTGTTGCTTTCTGCGAAGCCCTGCTAAAAGTGACTCACTTTTAGTGGTTTTAATGCGGAAAACCCATGAGTTGGCAAAAAGTTAAAGTCCTAACATCCAAGCAAAATGCAACACAAAGACCTCAGGCGACTCAAAAAACTGACTTCTGAGCGACTAGATTGGCGAGAAACAATCGTCGAAACTTGTTGGTGACCACTAGGGTGGTCCAAACACCAAAAGTGGCGAAAGTTCCTCAGGAAGTGAGAAAATGGGAAGTGAACCCAATCCCAAATGTGTCTCTGGGTCTTCTTTGAAGCAACCCTAGCATGGAAAAGCTCGAACCAATCGCGCCAAAGGTTTCTTGGAAGGGTCTATCCAAACAAGTAAGTGGGCTTATCCCCCCTAACTTAAGGGGGAGGGGGGTGGGGGGTCCCACAATTCCATTTTTTCAGTCTTCCCCACGAAAGGGAAAATGGAAGCCTAACTGGAATTCCAGGGGTCACCCCCCTCCCCCGATTCCATGTTGAAGGGGGTGGGGATTGGGCTTTTCGGGTCTACTTGAAAAATCCTAAAACGGGTACAGTCAAAACCGCACCGATTCACATGGCAGTCTGACTGGCTTGGACCACGTTCCTTTTTAAGGGGACTCCTGAACGTCAGGCTTAACCATCAATATAAACTTTGGCGGTACCCCCTGCAGTGGCAAAACACGCTCCACCGGAAGCCCCCTTTAAATGGCGCTGCGCTTCCTTTTTTCTTTGGGGGGGTTCAATCAAACCTGGGGGTGGGGTTGGTCAACAGGTTCTTTACATGGCTGTGGCTCAAAAACCGGTACCAGAAATGGAACCCTGGTAAGTGGAAACATGGACCAAAACCTGCGTAACCCCTCCTGTTTAATTTTGAGCCACATGGGATGACCATTGGGAGGAACCACCAGCCTGATCTTTCCCATGGGAAACGTTGCCCATACTCATTTGGGAGGCCGACGGCGATTTTGATGAACCCCCCATGCGTGTGTTGAGGGGTTTCCCTCGAAAAGGGTACCTAGGTGCTCCAGATTTGAGAGGCTAGAAGAAGTTGGTACCCACTTTTGTTTTCTCGTTTTTGTCTATTTGACTAGGGGCTTCCCCTCCCCACCACAAAAGTTGGGTGAGAAAGGGCACCTAGCTGGACCTAGTATATGCAACTTGCAAAAAAGAAAAGGAAAAACAAGAACAAGCTCAATGGCGATAGGTTCCCGCCAAAAAAGTTGGGTGGGACACCCAGGTCCAGTGAAACATGACCCACTTGACGACACCTCCAGGCCCAGGGTGAAACATGGCACCATCCCCCCGCCGAGCTTCCCTTCGGCTGACGTTAAAAACCAGCTTTTTGATGGGAAAGGCAGGGGCTGCAGCCCAAAAAACTTGAAAGTGTGACTCAAATTGGGGGGGTTCGAACCCAATCCCATTTGTGATTTGTTGGGTTGCCTTGGTTGAAACAACCTGAACCTTCTTTGCCAGAAGGAGCCACACATAAAAGGTGCACCTTTGGGGCCGTGACTAGAAATGGATCACAAAGGAGAAACCCAAAGGCAAAAAAATCGGCGTAGGGCAACGCCAAAGCTATAAACCCAGGCCCAACAAGGTCTGCTCGCTGCCAAGCTGCGGGTGGCACGAAGCTGCGAAACGTGAAGGAAAGGCCCGGGTGAGAATAGAAGCCAAAAAGGCTGCGGATGCGTGCCCGGGTGACAAAATCACAAAGGTGGACCTCGGATATGCAAACCTGGCAAGCCTGGCAGACGAAAATGGACAATTCCCCCCCCCGCAAGCGAAGGATCGCGCACCCCCTGATTGCAATCTATCTTCATTCGGGGAATCAGCCACTTAACCCCCCCCCCTCCGGTTTCATGTATCACCAGGCGTTGCTTGACCAACTGGGATCCTATTTATGCCCCACTTCGCCATACGCCTCATGGATGAAGCCTGAATGCATGAACCCGCAGGTGAACTCCTGGCAAGCCCTAATGGCTGAAGGAGTTTGTGTATTTTGTTTCCTTGAGGCTACCCTTTTTCACCTTGGCAAGGAGCCCAAGAGGACATCTGCCCATTGGAGGGGATGTTTCGAGAAATCCCACATTTTATGGTGGCGTTTTTGAGCTACCCCCAGGCGACCTTCATCGCAAGGAGCATCGCCGCTTGTTCCAAGTGGCGGTGGTGTAGTCCTTCCGCATCTCCGCGAACATGGCGAGCTCATCCAGCCAGCCATGGCTCTGCAGCAGGTGGTAGATGGTGGCATGCACCTCAAGTCAGATGTCCGAAAGATCCCAACCTTCAACGGGTGGGTGGGTGGGTGGGGTTCCCCAAATGCTGAGTGGCACCATAAATGGAGTTCTTTAATTGCTGATGTCAGGCAAAGCTTCCCTAGGGTGAAACAACACATTGAATGGGGGGTTGACTGGAGATATGAACCACCTACACCAGTGAGTTGGTAGATGGCGACAATTCAGCGCCGCAGTAGGAGTCATTGCAGCCGAACTCGTGCCTAGTGAACTTCCCATGGCTCCATAAAGGCGGAAACAAAGTACTCGTGATATCCGGGCAACCCTGGCAGATGTGTGAGTTGATCTTTGGACCCTAGCAATTGAATTTGCACAGGTAAGCTTTTTGGGGGCATGCATGTGGCCAACCCGACCCTCCTCAAGCTGCCAAGCAGGGGTACTTCCTGAGTCGATTGGTCACAACAAGCCTGGACTTGTTGTTCCTGGTTGCTGCCAATTTTGAAGCCCACTAGCTCCAGAAGGACACATCCTGGTCCCTATATTTCACCCTTACCAAGGGGAACTCGCCTTAAATGGGCAAAACAGGTGATATCTCAATCCACAAGTGAAATCCATGGCTGACCCAAATGCCGCTCTGTTGGTTGCCTTTTAAAGGAACCCATGCACCACATTTCGTCTTTTTAAAACCCTGGTACCAAGAAAACACATCACCCACCAACGGACCCACATACATTGCTTTACGGTACCTATAGTAGGTCCTCCAGTAGAGAGGATAGAATAAGTTGGTACCACTTTTCTCTTTTTTGTCTATTTTCGTCGGGGCTTCCCCTCCCAACCAAAAAAGTTGGGTGAGAAAGGGCACCTAGCTGGGGGGCCTAGTATATGCAACAAAACCCTGCTGGTACATCAAAAAATACACATCACCCACCAATGGACCCAACGAACAAATCGCTTTACGGCACCCATATCCAACCTGCAACGACAAGTTGCGTCGGCCCGACGGCCGCTTTGGCTGGGGCCCGGGCGTCCAAATCGCTGCACTGCCGCAAGAGCTCCACCAGCTCCTTCTGCAGCTCCGCGTGGGTGTCGCCTCAGCCGCCGGGGGCGCTGCAGCCAGCCCGGCGACGTGGGGGTGCAGAGAGTGACCCTTCGGGTGAGTGGGGTGCTACAGGGGCAACAGGGGAAAGCCGAAAGGAATAGCACCATGTTGGCTGCGGATGCCCTTTTTTGGTGGTGTTTCAACTGGTTGGGTGGACTTTTTCAGCGGAGCGGACCAAATTGGTAATCTAGACGTGCTGTTTGCCACTAAGCCTTCTGAAAAAGAACGTGAGCTTGGTTGCGGTTGACCCCTCTGCAAAAAGCTCCACTTTTTGTGGGTTGAATGGAAAAACTTTGATTTCCCAACAAGTTAGTTAAAGTTTAAAGATGCAACTCAATAGCAATCAAGACATGTTCAGGAAGTTTGGGAGTAAGTACAACAAAACCAGAGGGACACTAAGGGAATACCGCAATTTTGGCTTTCCCGCCTTCAATCGTCCCCAACCCATTCTAACGCCTCCGATTGCTTCAGGTGCCACCTAGGAAACACAAATTGCCTGTCATTGTCAGCCCGTCTGAAAACCACCTTGGACAAATATCACTCCTTTTTTGGCGATTTAGAATTTATTAAAAAGAAGAAAAAAAAGAAGACAACCACCCTTTTAGGGGGGTCCGCTAAAGAAAAACTAACTCGGCAACTGGACTAAATCCGATCTTTCCACTTGGGTTTGAGCTTAGCCGGGAGCCCCCGCTGGAGCGGTCTGGGTGCTCGTTCAGCTGGGCCAAGGAGATTTCCACAGCCCAAACGCTCAGCAGCGCCCGGGTGACCTGCGGCCCGATCACATGGCCGCAAGCTTCGCTTTGGGCATGCCTGAACTTCCAACAGGTTGCTGCTGGAGTAGGGGGTGGCCCCGAACAAGTCAAAGTCATTGTGTACCACTGGAATGATTTCCCCAACATAATGGTGCGTCCAGGAGCTTGGGAAGTGATGCCACTAAAGTGAAAGCCAAGAAGAACGAAGGGTCAAAGGCATGAACCCCTTGGCTTTCCAACCAATATCCCCTTCACCCCAAAAAAGCTCACTTCAACATTTATCCTCCCAAAGCATGAAAACGGGGGATCGACTTGGTTTGTGTTTCCAAGGTGACCTTGGTCATGTGCATCTGAAGGAAAACGGTGCACCTTGACGGCGCTTTATGTTAATGTGAGCGGAATTGGTCCAGCAACTGCATTCACTCCGACCTAAGTTGGGGCAAGGGTGGGCGATGCCATGTTTGCAGTTTCCTCACAAATAAAGGGAGCGTGGAACTGCAATCAAAATCCAGGCCGCCACCCCCAATTCCAGGTTTGAGGAGGCAGGGATTTCCTCTAGGTGCTATCATTTAATCGCCAAATGTCACCTTTGATGAGCGTCTCGCAGCCGGCAAAGTCAAGGTCTGGAAAGCCCAAAGCAATGCCCTCCCTTGGCCAGCTCAAGTCTCATGGCGCAAATTCAAAGCGGTTCAAAGACACAAAGGAAGACACCAAAACTCCTCCTCTACCTTGGCTTTTCCGAGAAAAAGGAGGAACTTCAGCTGCAGCTTCCGGCAAAAAGACAAAACCGGTAAACCCTACAACTCAAGAGCCACGTCCTTAAGTTGCCGTCCCCTCCGCTTGCCGCCCGATCCTCCCACGGTCCCACAAAACCCGTCGCCTGATCCTCGGCGCGCCGGAGGCGGCAGCGCAAGTACTCCAGCAGCGCCGCCTTTCGGTGCAGGAACCGCAGCGCCACGTGCTCGAACCTCGAAATGGCTGGCGCTGCTGGAGGTGGGAGCCCCATTGAAACCGCACCTAGGTCCTCCAGATTTGAGAGGTAAGAATCAGGGCACCAACTTTTTCGGTAGTCTATTTTAGTAGGGGAACCCAAAACACCCCCAAAAAAAGGTAAAAGGAAACTACTGGGGGACCTAGGCACCAACAAAATCACCTGAGAAACGAACGCCACATCCCATCACCCCAAGTGGCGCAGGCCGTTGTGGTGAACACGCTTGTTTTTGCCAAAGTGAGCTCGCTATAATTTGCTCGAACCCGTGAATTGATAGAGGTCCTTGATCGTTCCTTTGGAGATTCACGAGCTCCCTCCTGGTTTTGCGTTCTTTACTTGATTGCCCGCACAAAAGAAACCTACAGTGAGACTCCAACAAACTAGATTGGATGTACCTCTTGTCCTCTCAGATGAGGGGGGCTGCAAAGCGCTTCAAAAGCCTTTTGCCCCCCAACCAAAAGTCTCTAAGACATGGCCCGCATTTAGAGAACCTTGAAATGCAAAAATACTTTTCAAGCGAGATTCTGGAAACTAAACCTCAGTTCCCACCTCCAACCCGAAGCCACTAATTGAAATGCAACATCCTTCTCCTTCCCACAAATTGGTGCTTTGCATTGGTGGTTTGGCGGTTAAGGAGGGGTTTCCAATTTGCCCCAAGAACAGGGGCTCAACACCAATCCGAACCACCAACTAAGGGTGCCTGAATCATTTGAAGGGAGGTCCCCCCCGCCACCAAAACAAAAAACGAACCTCATGTCCCACATCCCTCGGCTTCTGGGCCTTCCATGGCTACTCCCCACGCCCTTGCCCCGCCGCGGGGCGGCACGGCCGTGGCCTGTGCGAACTTCCTGCGGGAAGGCATCAGTGCGGGAACACATCGGCCCGCAGCGAGCTGGGGACTGCTGGGCCGCGCTTCGAAACCGGGTCGTTCTTTTGCCTCACATTTCCCGGGAGAATGAGGGGCGCCCCTCAAAGTGTAGGAATCCTTTTGGGGGGGGGGGCGGCCTTCATTTTCCCAGGAAGGGTGGCAAAAGAACAACCTTTTTCAAAACGCGCAAAGGAGAACAGTGAGAGTGATTGCCAGGCAGGTGTAGTAACTGGAACAGAAAACATCAAATGATGCCCCTTAGCCTGTAATTGAAGGAGACACCAACGAAAGCCGGCCTCGGAAACGGCCATGACATTTGCCGCCGCTCCCCATTGAGTCTTATCAGCTTGCTGATTGACAAGGCTAAGTCTCCCTCTCCACGCGGCAAGGCCACTGCCACTTGGACACACATCCATGCTGAACACAAGAAGCATCAAATATGGAAACATAGAGTTCCCTTGTAACTCCCCTTTCTGCACACCCCAGGAGCTCACTTCAAATCTTGGAACAGCAGAAGTGGATGACCACGCCCTTGGAAAGGCTTTCCGCTGGCACCGCCCCCATCCGCCCGAAAGGCGGATGAACTTCGGACAACGTTGTAGCCGTAGCTTCTAATCTACTGACCTCGTGAGACAGAGTTTCTGACATCAGCTGCTATTTCACGGTTCCCGACCCTATTTCCTGCTGTGGGGGTTGTGAACAAGACTGTACCTTTTGGGAAAACAAACTCCCGAAGTATGCGAGGCACTTGGCGTCTTATGAGCGGCCAAGGGCGTGCAACACACTCGTCAAGTGAAGCAACAAACAATGCTTCCGCCTGGCCCAAACGTCCCCAAGACATTCCGCGGCCACACACCTCACAGGCGCTCGTCGCTTTTGGTCGCCTTTGCGCTTGCTCAAGTCCTCCAGCCAGAAGGGCTGCAGCATCTCCAGCTGCTTCAGACTGAGCTCCTTGCGACGAAGCAGCTGTCGCGCCTTCTCGCACCGCTCGTGCTGCAGCTGTTCGTCCAGCTCTTCCTCCGTCAGTTCCGTCGCTGTTCCTTGGTCAGGCTTCGGGTCCCTGCAAAAAGATGTTGTGTGCTAGTGGTAAAGGGAAAAAACCGCAACAACCAGCGTAAAAAGGGCAAAAAGGCTGGTTAAGTCTGGCAATGGCTCCAAAAGCCCGGGGCCTTCTCCCATGAAACCGCAGCCAGTCGCACAAGTCCTCAAGCCAGTCCGCGCACGGACGTCGACGTGCAGCCACACGTGGCTCCAAAGCAGCGATTTGGTCCCGAAAGGGCTGCAGCATATCCAACTCTTCCTTGCTGAGTGCATTTTTGCGCAGCAACTTTCGCACATAAGTGCAGCGTCTGTATTGCAATTGTTCATGACACTCTGACTCATTCAAGCCAAGCTTTCCTTCAAAATGGCGCGGCCTGCGCTTGTGAAGGTGCAGCCAGGCACGCAAATCCTTCAGCCACGCTCTTGAAGTGAGAATCGTGACATTCAGAAACGGCTGCAACATGTTCAACTCTTCCTTGCTGAGTGCATTCCTTCGCAGCAATTTCCGCACTTTTGAGCAGCGCCAGTATTGCAACTGCTCCTTCAGCTCCGTTTCGTTCAAGCCAATCCTGCTTTTGAAATGGCGTGGCCCGTGCTTGTGAAAGTGCAGCCATGAACACAAATCCTCCAGCCATGCTTTCCGAACAGATTCCACTCTTGCAGTGAGCATTAGATGCAAAAAGGCTGCAGCATATCCAACTGCTTCTGATTCAGCTCATTTCTCCGACGTAAGCTTTCCACTTTTGTGCACCGTTTGTATTGCAATCGCTCCTCCAACTCTGTCTCGCTCAAGTTAGCTTTGTTGGTGAAATGGTATGGCCTGCGCCTGTGAAAGCGCAGCCAGTTGCACAAGTCCTCAAGCCAGGCTGCTCTGGGAAGTCGGCCTGCAGCCCGGCTTGGATAGCGAGCCGCGATTGCGCTCTGGAAAGGCTGCAACATGTCCAAATGTTCTTTGCTAAGTTTGTTTCTTTGCATCAACCTTCGCACAAGGGTGCACCGTCTGTATTGCAACTGCTCCTGCAACTCTGCCTCGCTCAAGTGAGGCGTTGATTCAATCCGGCGCATCCGGCGCTTGTGAAGTCGAAACCAGGCACATATTTCCTCCAACCACGCCGTCCGCTTAGCTTCTGCAGTTAAAGTGGAGGGCAGAATGAATCTAAAAAACGGATGCAGCAGTTTTACATGATTCTCGCTGAGCTTGTTTCTTTGATGCAAGCTTTGCACTTGTTGACACCGCACGTATTGCAATCGCTCCTCAAGCTCCGTGTGGTTCAAGCCGACCCTTGTCCGTAGTCTACGCGGTCTACGCTTGCGAAGGCGCAGCCAGGCACACAAATGTTCCAGCCACGCGGCCCGCGGCAGTTCTACAGGCGAAGTGCCAAGAACAGTTTCGTTCCAAAAAGGCTGCAGCATGTCCAACTGTTCCTTGCTGAGTTCGTTTCTCCAACGCAGCCTTCGCACTTGCGAGCATCGTTTGTACATCACTCGCTCCTCTGCCTCAGTCTCATTCAATTTGGCCTTCCTTTCAAAATGATATGGCTTGCGCTTGTGAAGGCTCAGCCAGGCACACAAATCTTCCAGCCAGAGCCCCTGATGTACCCTGGGCTGCGCTGAAAAGGGTGCCTGCAAGCATAGCAGGCCACATCTGAGCTGCCACCAAGACACACAAACGATGAGCAAAGCCAGGCAGTGGTTCACAGTAAAAGGTCGCAGGTCCAAGGAGGCCATTGCTGCTCTCAGCAAACCTTCCTCTTGATAGGTTGACATTTCAACATCTTTTCGCAATACGGCGAGCACGGCTCGCCTTGGCATGTTGCGGAACCAGCAACCGAGCAACCGTCTCTCGACCAGGTTTAATGGGCAATTTTGAGCCTCATACGATTCTATTCGCGGCGCATGGGCAAAATAATCCAAAGCAAGATTCGCTACACCCTCTATCCAAATGCCAATCCCCTTAATTTCGATTTCTTGCGTTCCACAGGGAACAAAAAAACACCTGGCATCGTCAGGCAAGTTCTTAGCTAAACCGAGTTCAGCAGTTGAGGCTCATGTGTTGGGTTCTCATCATCTTTGTCTACGCAGTCCTCCTCAACATCAATCAGCCTTGGTGTTGACCACAGCTCAATCAAACCTCAAAAGTTCTGGCAGAAAACCGGCATCGCTTTGGGCATGGCTTTGGCGCATCATTTTTGGACATGTTATGATGGTGGTCTAGCTTCAAGCACAGCCACGCGCCACCTGGCACATCTAGAGCCTCCGCGATCAAGTAGCGCAAGCAATGTTCACTCTGCGCAAGCTGGTGCATGCAAGAGCAGGGCATCGTCTTTGGGACGCCCCCATCGCTTCCCCCAGCTTTCTCCACTTTTGGAGAACGGATGTCGGCCGAATACATGTCTCAGCTAACACGAGTTTTGACAGTTGCTCAGATGATGCTAAAAGAGGTCTCAGATAAAACATTGTTGAAGACTTCCATGACATTCTCAATGGCTCCCTAATTTTGACGAGCCGTAAGCATGGCCATGACCCACACAGGAAGCTTTAATCACGATGCCTTCTCGCCCCTTCCAACTGCAAAGCTCTCCTGCCGTTTCGGGGGCTTGGCTTGCTTCATTCTCCTGCAACGAAAAGGCTACACTGCCATCACGCTTTGCCAAACTTGCCTCCGCCGTTATCCCCAGGCACCACCTTGCTGCCATGATCCCCCGCGACTTTAAAAGGGGAGGGGTGCCCTAATTCCATCTTGCGAGTCTTCTGCGAAAGGAAAATGGGACCATCAATGAATTTCCAGAGGCCGAAATCCAGCCTCCACCAACTCAATTTTCAAGGGCCCCGGCAAGGATCTGACAGGCTTTTGGCTCACCGCTTTACTCACATCCTCCAGCCAGAAGGGCTTCAGCATCTCCAGCTGCTTCTGACTGAGTTCCTTTCGACGAAGCAGCTGCCGCACCTTCTCGCACCGCTCATGCTGCAGCTGTTCTTCGAGCTCTTCCTCGTTCAGATCCTGTGAAGGAAGCAATTGCCCCTCACACAACACTTCAAATTGGTCGCCATTTAGCGGGAGCACACGTTTTTTGTCCCAACCCCCCAAACCAGTGAAAGACCCAGCATGACCCAACTTTTGCGTTTAGTGGAAGAATACTCAGTTTCCCGAGCAATCAAAGATAAACAGGGGTTCAAAATCCAACTGGAGAGATCATGCGGCCAAGGTTCAGCCCCTAATGCAAATGGCCGCGCCCTTCTCTGATGAAATCGCAGCCAATCGCACAAGTCCTCAAGCCAGTCCGCGCGCGGAAGCCGAACTGCAGCTCGACTTGGGCCCTGAGCCTCGATTTGCGTCCGAAAAGGCTGCAACATGTCCAAGTGTTCCCTGCTGAGCGCATTGCTGCGCAACAACTTTCGCGCATTGGTGCACCGTCTGTATTGCAATTGCTCCTGATACTCTGACTCATTTAAGCCAATATTTCCGGCAAAATGGTGCGGCCTGCGCTTGTGAAGGCTCAGCCAGGCACACACATCCTCCAGCCAAGCTGTGCGAACAGATTCCGCGCTTGAAGTGAGAATCATGACATGCAGAAACGGCTGCAGCATATCTAACTGCTTCTGGTTGAGCGCATGTGTCCGACGCAGCCTTCGCACTTCGACAAATCGCTTGTATTGCAACTGCTCCCGCAACTCTGACTCATTCAAGCCAGTCCTTCCTTTGAACTCGCGTGGCCTTCGCTTGTGAAGGCGCAGCCAATCACACAAATCCTCCAGCCACGCTGTCCGAACAGATTCCGTGCTTGAAGTGAGAATCATGACATGCAGAAAAGGCTGCAGCATATCTAACTGATTCTGGTTGAGCGCATTTCTCCGAAGCAACCTTCGCACTTCTGCGCATCGTTTGTATTGCAAACGCTCCTTTGCCTCTGTCGCCTTTAACTTAACCTGTTTTGCAAA